CACCTCTTCAACAACAATTTCCATATCAAGGACCTTTCTAAAATGTTCCTGATCAATGTTATTAAATTATTGTTATAAGTATCATTATGGTTTTTGTCTTGTTGTATTTCAAGTGTTCGTTTTATGTATTGTGTTCTTAAACTTTGTTCGATAATTTTGAAAGTTTTTTGTTTTTCATTCATGTTCCTGTACATTTCTTTCTGTTATAATTTCTTGTTGCATCTTTCCCTTCTTTTTGATAATGTCAAAGGGGGAGAAGGATGTAATAGCACTTTATGGTTGTTTGTTTTCATTGTCTTTACAGAGCAAGCTTTCAAATCTTTTTCTCCATAGGGGGAGAAATCTTCTCAGGGGGAGAAAACACATTCTGCTCAAATTCTGATCAACACATAAAGGAAATGGTTTGTCATCATCAAAAAGGGGGAGAATGTAATCTCAAGCCTCAACTCAACTTTAGTTTTGATGAAAGACAAACAAGCTAGTTTGATGAAAGACAAACAAGCATTATGGAAAGAAGGAAAAGAAGTGGAAATTAACTTAAAGCATCATTCACTCAAAGCTTTAAGGATCTTGGCAAGCAATCAAGTATATCAATTCTCAATTAAACTACATTGATTAGAAATGCTCAAAAATGATATACACACTTGCCACATCACTTCAATTATATTTCAAAACAATTTTTAAGTTTTTCTCTGCTGTAAATCGATTAACATCTTGTGTAAATCAATTTACACATGCTTTTTCAAAAAACTATTTGCTCCTGCCAGCAATCGATTTACAGGTTGTGTGAATCGATAGATCACAGAACAAACTGATTTTTTAACTCTTGTAAATCGATTGACACAACATGCTAATCGATTTACACTTCAATTTTTTTGAAATTCTGAACGTTACAAACACGTGCAATCGATTTGCATCTTATGTTAATCGATTTGCACATTGAAAATTTTGAAAAATCTGAACTGGTTTCAAGATATCCTTCACACCTTTTCTCAAATAGTTGCATGATCAAACATTGCATCTTGTCAAGTTTTTCAAACAGAAAAGTGTCCTTTTGGAAAGGTATCTTGATTACTATATATTAAAAAATCTTTCAAATCAAAAACAACTCTTCTCTTATGCAATAAAATCTGAACTTTGTAAAATATTCAAACTTCATATTTTTTAACTTTTAAGAACAAAGATTTTCTGCACTTTCACACATATAAAGAACAGAAATCTTTGAGCATTATCTAACCATTGTGTTACAGTTTGAATTGCTTACAAGAGAAGAAAGAAGAAACTTCAAAGAAGTCACTCTATGTGATCAACATCTTTCAAGAAATCATACTTCATAAAAACATACAAAGTGTAACTTATTTCCAGGATTGTTGGAATTAAGTATTAGATTACTTTTGTTCCTTGTTGTCCATTATTGGAAACAAGAGGTATCTTTTGAGAGGATTGTTCTCATTAGACTTATTGGAAATCCAAGAGGGTGTTCTTGGTTATTTGTTAGGTTCTTTGGTGGATAAGACTAGGAAGAGTCTTGTAAAAGTTCTAACAATATAGTAAAATCTCTTGCGTGTTTGCAAGGGGACTGGACGTACTTCCGGGGTATGGAAGGAACCAGGATAATTCTCCGTGTCTCTTTACTTTCTGCACTTTACAGTTTTCAAAGCACTAAATCAAAACCAGAAAGTATAAAATAAGTCAAAAATCGACCACCACCTAATTCACCCCCCCCCCCCCCCCTCTTAGGCGCAATCTTAATCTTACAACGTGTATGTGGCTTAATGAAACTGTCTCCTCAGATTTAGCCACGTAGTTGGCGCCTTGATCAGGAAACTTCTTGCGACCGCTGTAATATTCAAATTTCAAAATCTATCCCACCTATAAGTTTTGCTTCGACATCAACCAATGCAGTGGACAAATAACCCACATTCTTTAAGTCTTGGATTTCATTTTTGTTGACGGAACTAAAGTCGACTGGCTTGTTATTTCCTCTGTCGACTACTTGCTCTTTTGTTCGTCGATCTCTCTTTAATTCTATATAAGAACTTTCCAGCTATCATTTTCTTGACTCTAATCTTCTTAAAATTCTTACTCTTGGAAGGCACTTTTCCTTCAGTTCACAGGGTTGCCCTACTAACAATGCAATAAATTCCTTAAAGAAATTTTAAGGTAACAGTTATAAATTCCAATTAAGGTTGTCACCTACTTGGGAGATTCCTCTTCATGGTCACTTTCAGAATCTTCCTCTGACCGTGAAACAGACAAGCCTTTCTTCTGTTTCTTGAGATAAGAGGGATACTTATCTCTTATATGTCCAAACCCTTCACCTTCATGACACTGAACTCATCTTCCTTGGCAGGATTTATCATCAATTCTAGCCCTTCTATCAAAGTCTTGATTTTTATTGATGTCTGATGACTTGTTCTTGATATTTGACCTCAACTTCCAATTCATCTTCTTCATGACCTTGTTCTGTCTTACAAGCAGCACAATAGCATTAAATACCCCTTTATTTATATCCAAATCACATTCATCTCCTGAGTATTCAGTACTTGAAGCAAAGGTTAAGCTTTTCTTCTTTTTAGACTTTTCATTTATCCCTGATTCACAAGTCTGTAGAGATCCTAAAAGTTCATCTTCTTTCATAGTGTTGATATCATGGGCTTCTTCAATGACAGTCACTTTCATGTCAAACCTCTTTAGAAGAGATCTGAGAATTTTTCTGACCAATTTAGCTTCTGATATCTTCTCTCATTTCTTATTCATTGTACCCGAAAGTAACTTCCCTGAATCTCACCTAGATACAGAGCAGGATGTCTGCTCTGATGCCAATTGAAATTCTGATATACAGATCTCAGATGTCCTAAGAGATATCGAGACACTGATCTTTGAACAACAACACAATGAATAATTTCAAACAATAAAGCAGTGCAGAAAAATAAAAGACCACACAGAATTATTAACCCAGTTCGGTGTACAACAGCACCTACTCTAGGGGCTACCAAGCCAGGGAGGAAGTCCACTATAATAGTATCAATTTGAAGCTAAACTCCCATGTTTACAACTTCTCACTTAATCACTGTCCGTGCTTACTTCTACCTAAGACTCACTTAGATATGAGACCCTTCTCACTTCCCTTACAGTCACAAAACAGTGACAAGAACGCAGTTCAAAAGACTTTATAAGACAAACTTCAAAAACACACAATCACTCAATATTTAGAAACTTAAGAGTGATTGACAAAATTTACAAATCAATAGAGACAGTCCTACTCTTCTATCAAAGTGATATTAGAGAGGCTCACAATAAACAAAACAGTCTTAATACATTCACCAAGACTCAATGTTCAATCAACACACAAGAACCCACAAAATCACGTTTTGCAACGCTACAAAATACACTTCAGTTCCACACTTCAATTAGGGTTGAAGTCTTCTTTTTATAACCTTGAATGGACTGGATTTTGACTTCAAAAATGCAGCAAGTCAGCTGCTAAAAATCTGCAAAAACTTCTACATAAAAATAGGACTTCAATCATTAGTTTCTTAAATTATCTCCATAATTAAAAACTAAGAATACCCCTTAAATTCAACTTGAATCTCTTAATCTTTAAACTGAGCGCCACATAGGATATCATAATATTCCCAGAATATTCTACATCTATAATAAACTAAAAACATCCAAATGTCCAGTTGTACGCATGCACGATGTCGAATGATTCTGCATATGACGTCTTGTTCAACATGTTTCTCCAATTGATAGAACATCTTATTTCAACATGTTTCTGCTAAGTTAATTTTACCAAACATAATGTCAATCACAAAAGTAGAGAATTAACAATCTTCCCCTTTAACTTATTTTAGCTAAAACAGTTTAATACTCCTTATATAAATTATCATGCAATGGGGTCACAACATAAAAAAAATTAAAAAATTAAAAAAATAAAAATTAAAAAAAGGACAAAAAATTTAGGACCACATATTAACATTAAAAAACCATTGTGGACCATGGCAAACAAAATAAACAAAAAAAAAAACAAGAAAGATCATAGTGACTTTGCAATGGAGACAAAAACATACCTTAAATAATACTTGACTCCTTCAGTGTTAGTCCATTGAAAACGTCTTTTGGTCATCTTTACAGTAATGAACGTTGAATCCTAGAAAACAAGTGTTGCAGTTTGAATGAGCTACGCTTGAATGGGCTTCGAGGTTAATTTTGTGCTTGGTTTCGATTCAACAATGTTTATTATGATTGGTTTCAATTGAAGCTTGGTTCTCGATTACAAAATTGGTTCAATTGAAGGAGAAAAGAGAAAGGGGGATCAGAAGGGTTCGAATAGAGAAACTCAATTATGCTGCCTCTTGGTTTTCATTTTCTTTATTTCTAGACTGACTCTTATTATTCATTTGTTTATTTCACAAAATATTATAGAATGATTTTAATATTGTGTAATTCAGTTTGCAGTAAAAAAAAAAATTATTTCTTTGAGAAGTTATGATGGATTCAATCAGCCAAGAAAGATTTGTCCCTATATGAAAATCTGTGTTTTCACACCATTACACAATGCGATGAATATATTCCTTCAGCTTCTTTCAAATTGGTTGGTATAAAACCAAATGCAAATTGAAAGAAAATTATAAATAAATAAATAAACATAATGTAAAAGTTTGTTTTCCTACTTAGTTTGGGAGCCAAAGTTTTGATTGATCTTACTGAATAAAAAAATAATCTTTTTCAATAAAAGCAGATACTCAAGACCTTCAGTTATTCTCTCAACTAAATTTGATAAATGAATACAAAACAGCAAATGATAGAAAAACCTACATAACACTAACGTACAACAAACATTGAAATACAAAGTGTATTTTTGAATCGGCGGTGGGAATGGTTGAACCATAGTAGTGCCAATGCGAGCTGTCTCACTTAACTTAGTTGCCACAAAATATCACTGAAAACACCTGCTCCCAAACACAAGCTATGTAGGATGCGGCAAATACTTGGGCTTAAGGGTTTAACCGCTTCCGAAGTTCCTCCACAAAACTTCCTCTAGGAATGTTTATATTCACATCATTACCTGACTCGAGGCTTTTCAATTGCACCGTGCCTTCTTTTAATTCCTGCTCACCGACGAGTATCATCCAAGGGATTCTTGATTCTTTTGCATAGTCAAAGTGCTTTGGTCTTCTCTTGTTGACTAAGAATTCTGCTTTCACCCCAGCATCCCATAGTTCACCAGCTAGCTCTCCAGCTAGTGTTACGTCATTCCCTAATATGCTCACTAGGACTTCTGTCTTGGTTGGTCGGGCCATCTAGCAAAAACAAAAAGTTATAAAAAGGAAAATAGTGGTTGTCTTTCTATGCGATAATGTATCTCTAACATTCATAACTTGACATGGACATAAATTTTCTAAAATTATAATAAAAGGAAAACAACTAAGATCAGTTTTATCATCATTTCCACGCCAAAAAAGCATCAAAAAGAAAAAGAAAATAGGTAAAAGTGAGCTGCAAACATCCCTAGTGAATAGATGCACCCCACTGGTAATGAAATTGTATGAGTATCTGTCTGATGGGTTTATGAAATAATCAGTGACACAATTATGCAATGGCAGTTATGATTAGAAAATAATTTAGATGTTAAAATGGGATTTGATATACAGAATAATCATAGAAGATTTATCTTTTTGACATAAAAAAACTATAAAGTTAGCTATCAAGCATTATGATCACCTGGTCCTGATCTTTCTGTTGTTGCTCCATTATGGCAAATACTCTTTCGATTCCCAAACTTACACCAACTGCTGGAACTTGCTTTGAACCAAACATTCCTATTAGGTTATCATATCGACCGCCAGCAGCAATTGAACCAACCTGTGTAAAAAACAATCACTAAATATAAGCAAAAGATTTCAGTAAGAACTGGGTAAATGAAACAAGACAGAGGAGATTATATGCAATGAAAAAACATGACTATCATAAGCCATCCTCGAGAATCAAGAACTTCAAATTATTTCGTCATATATAATCCATATGCTTTCCGGAAAAGAATAACGCAAATGCTAACAAGTGTCCTAAGGAAACGTGTAAAGAAACCAAAGGTAAAAACTTGTCTTGGAATTTGTGTTTAAAAGAACAATTTTTAAACTTCATAGAATTAAATACATAAATTCCAAGATAAACATGTGCCCTAAACCCGGGTACTTATCAGGAAAACCCCAAGAATAATTGCTCAATTTTGTTTTTTAAAAAAGGACTATATCATTGAAAGGTAAAAAATACTCCGACAGCAGCAAAAGATAAAACCGAGATGCAAGAACAAAAAGAATCATTATTTCAAAAACACTCCAATTTCTCTGAATCTCCGAGTACAATATGCTCCTTTTCAAAAACAAGGGTTAAAAAACATAGAAACCAACAAAATAATTTTCAAACAAAAGATGAAAAACAAATCTTACTATGCACAGCTTTAAATCCTACAGCATAAAAACCAAATCATCAAAAACCAAACCAGTTCTTACTTAAATTCACCGCAAAAACCATTGAAAACTAAATCTTGATTTAGAAGGTAGTCTGTTAGAACCCATATAACCATGAATTGAACCTTAAATCTCACTCTGACCTCCTATTTATCTTGTCCAATAAAACCATTAACAATGTTTCAATCTACAATCTTTCATACAAAAACTTTCCCCATTAAAGTTAATATCTCTGTCTAAAAAATCTAAAGCTTCTGCTGTCTGATATGACTTAGATTTAAATTTTAATTATTAAAGTTAAAATGATTTTTCAACTAATTTATTTAATCTCTTTCAACTCTACTTCTAGTGTAAAAGCTCATTTTGTTTAACCCATAAAAGAACTGTTAATCCTTCATTACATCTTGTGTTTGGACTAGCATGATTTAAAATAACTTGTGAAAATGGGTCTAGCTTGTTGCATATAGAACTGTACAAGACAGTGAGCATCCACTATATCTGGGCTGATATAATGAACTGCATCCCTAAAAGAATGAAGGGACTAAAGAACACACATTTCAGAATGGTATCTGGGCTGATATAATGAACTGCACCCCTCAAAGAATGAAGGGACTAAAGAACACACATTTCAGAATGGAGATGAGATTAAAGACACAAGAATTACCTGAGCACCCCCTTTAAAAACAGCTTCAAATATAACTCCAGTATAATAATCAAGACCTCTGGCAAGACTCAAGTCAAAAACCACCTTATCAAGGCGTTTTGATTTATCCAGGGCTTTAAATAAAATTTCCAGGTCATTCAATGCATCAGTAGATCCAGCATTTTCTAAGAAAGCACTGCCTTCTTGTTTAAGTTTAGATAATAATGTTAAAGGATGTCCTTTTTCTTTAACAAATGTTCCAATTCTGTCAGCTGTCTCAGCAGTTAATCCTTTCTCTTCAACCTACAACATGAAAGTCAGTACAAACAACATTACTAAACTTAAGAAATCGTGGCATTACATTTAGACTACTTCCCGCTGTTTTTACAGTTTAGAGCGAATATTGATGCTACAAAGAATTGTAATGATACATATTCTAAAAGGCAACAACTATAGCAAATCTCAAAATCCTATGCCAATGTAATGCAATATACTTGCATAGTTCTACGGACATTTAAATTGTCAACACATTTTTTTATAGAAAAAATGTGAAGAAAATATTAAATCACATAACTCACTCAATGTGTTCAACTCACTCCAACACACAACAGATTGATGAATGAAATTTAAGTTATGTTCCAAAATAAAATTTAAAAAAATGATATCATACATTTCAAAAAAAGCAAAAACAATAATACCAGTTTTGAAAGATAAACACTCGGCCTAAGGCATTCAATGAACCCTTTTCATTTAATTGAGTCCAACCTTTGAAATAATACAGGTTACCAGTAACAGCAGAACAGAAAAGGGATACAAAATTCAAAAATAATGCAATTTAGACATTACTTATAAATAAAGAAAAATCAATAGAAAATATTTCTGTGAAGTAACCAATGACGGGGTGTTCGCATCTAAGTTGTTAATTCCAAAAAATTGGCACTTGGTGCAGTACCCCAAAATGATATAGCGGATAGTGGGATAGCCACCGCAATCGTGAAGACTAAAAAAAATGTACAAGTAAACATCATTCAAACAAGATACATAAAAACTCAAAAATATAAGATACACCAAATTGAAAGGACAATCATACTTAATAGTATAATTAACTGTCATTTCCCATCGAAATAAGTTCTAAGTGTAATCAAAAAGGCATCCCATCAAAATAAAGTTATAAACACTAACTGAACCTAAAGTACAGAACTATAAAACTTAAACAGAGAAGAACAGATTAGAACTGAACTTAAACTAGAAGAACAGAATGATTGCTTGTGAGCAAGAACAAAACAGAATGAAGAACAGAACAGTGAAACAAGAACGAAGAACGAAAGGAAGCAAATATAGAAAAACAGACAAAATAAAGCAACAAAATGAGAACACAGACCTCAGCTACACACAAGAAAACATATGAAGAAGCAGAACAGGCAACGAAGAAACAGAACAGAACACACAGAAGAAAACGGAAGGAAGATTAAAAAATGTGGGAATTGAAATACTAAATATTAGGGCACTTAAAGTGTTTGTATTGACAAGTATACCCTTAAAAATAAAGAAAATTCTTTAAAAAGGCATTTGAGAAATTTTGCCCTGAAAACATAATAGAGGACGCAGTGGCGGAATAAAGGAACAGTGGTAGGGTTTGGCCCGACACGATTCACGGCCACGACAGCCACTACTGCTGAAGGCGGCCCACTCAAGGCTGAGGCGCCGTGCCAACTACTACTGCTTTGCTATTTGCCTAATGGGTGCTATAGCATGCAGATGCACCAACTTGAATTCCACCCCTAAATCAAACTATTTCCCATTGATAAAGCATAAACTATAAACTATAAGTATGTAGAAAATTAATATAAAATTGTTACGCTGGATCATTATAAAAATAATTATAAAGAAAATAGAAACAAACAACATATGTCCTCACCATTTCTTTCCTTATCTGTTCGAATGATTGTTTGTCTAACTTGTCGATACTTGAACATATAGTCCTAAACTTTTCAGGAGGTACTCCACATATTTGCATCATGCCATCCAGTAACTTTCTATGATTCAATTTTACCTGTGAAACAAATTGTTTTGCAACAGAAAGGTCATAAGGAAGCGTACATAATAAATTTAAGGCGTTAGTATTTAATATGAAATTTAACCACTGAATTGGAAAACTGCAGTCAATCACCAGACACATTCAAATGACTGATAATACAAGGTTAAATTATAGCAAATATGCTGGGATTAGTAAACTAGTCACATTTAACAAGATCATGGGTGCCTGCAAAAACTCAATCACCATGCACATCCAAATGAATGAGGTTGTTAAAAAATATAATAAAGGAAGCAATAGTTGAGTTTTTAGTACCATGGGACAAGAGGCAAGGCATCAGTAATTAACACATTATAGGAGGAGAGATTAGTATGGTGAAGCCCTAAATGTAAATGAAATTGGATATCAAGGGCTTGAATAAAATTGTACATGAGTTTACCCTCTATTTGTAGGCGGGGGATTTATATTCTAGATACTTCGTTCTAGAATTTCCATAGCATTTCCTAATTCAATTGTAGCATTGGTTTATTCTAGGCATGTGCAACATTATTTAACAAGTAATAGTTATTCTATGAATGACTAACGTATTCTAGAAATATCTATACATGTGCATGATATTTCAACAGATAAGGCTAAATTACAGTAAATAAACAAGGATGAGTAAACCAGTCACATTTAACAATAACAAGACCGTTTCAAAGATCACATCAGCCAGCAGGTAATCTGATACCTGACACAATTCAGGTTGATTAAATTCGTTCAGATTTAGCATGACACGACATTGCAAAAAATCATCAACCAGTAGATTGATAGAAACACATGTCTTAGACCTGATGCCGACAAAGATAGCATTAAAAGTGGTACTTCAAAGTGTATAATTATGACTTATAAGCCCGACACATATACTGATACATATTTGATATTATGTCATGTCAATAACGGCTCACAAAAATATAATAATGGTTATAGAAATATCAAATCATGAACTCAGAAGCAGTCTAAATAGTTCTACAAGTTCAAAAAACCAATATTTTTTGTAGCAGGAATGTTAACAAATTTTACCTCAAAATCCCCAATGTTCAGCTCATCAAGCAATTCGGTCAAAATTCTAACAACCTCAAAATCTGGAGCCATTTTTTCAGCTGGACCGGCAATATCAAAGTCACATTGATAAAATTCACGGTATCTTCCTTTAGATGGGTTGTCCCTTCTGTAGACCTTAGCTATTTGGTACCTTTTCAAAGATGTCAGACCATTCATAGCTACAAACCTAGCAAATGGAACTGTCAAATCATATCTCAAAGAACAGAGCTCCCCACCCTGTCAAACAAGTTGCTTACCGGTTAGCATGAAATGAAACTCAGCTTTATTTATCTATGGATTTGGTGGGAAGTGGAAACCAATCTGGTTGAGAACCTTAATGGTGGTTTATCTTAAAAAGCAGAAGTCTAGATTCATGAAAGCAATCAGAGATATCAGAAGGAAAAATTCTACAGAACAAAAATATCCAAATTTGTTCACTATTTTGAATGTTGAAGTTTTTGTTTCGCAACATTTGCATTTGGAAAAAAGAAAAATTGTGTCATAAAATGAACTCAACTTGTCAAGTGAACAAGCAATAAACATATGTACCTGATCAGCAAGATCATAAATCAACTTTGAGTCTTCTCCATATTTTCCCATGAGAGTTTCTCGCAATTCAAAGACAGGTGTATCCAAGGCTGTGGCACCATGCCTCTCAAAGACTTCTTCTATTACTGAAAATGCTTTCTTTCTAATTGTCATTTGTTCTTTTGCAAAATCACGTGTCCCCTGATATGGTCACATTGTGATACTCAAGATAAGACTACCAAGAATTGCATTCCAACCAGGAACATAAATAAACATAAGAAATTTCCTTTATCTATAGACAACACAATTAAATGTCTCAAAATATAAGATGAAAAAGAAACACCAATTCCGTATTAAATGAGGTGAGAATTGGATTATAGATGATAACACCTTGTACAAGATTCCTAGAAATATGAATTTAACAATGAAAATCATCACTGGTGTCACTATCAGATCAGATTATGATTCTATCAAGGTTGTCAAACTTGAGAATCTACGTAAACTTGTTGGAGCCTCTGTAGGCTCAACTCGCAAGAGTCTACTAACATGCAAACTATCATAACATTCAAATACAATAGATATAAATATAATTTATAAATAGCATAAACATAATAGTTTTCTATATTCTGGTTTTATAATTAAGCAAACCATAATAATAAAGTATATGATGATTCAGGGCTCAAATGAATGGTTTTTTAATGCTCATAACAGAGCTCAAACGAATTATAGGATAGATATTTCATCAATTAAAATGTTCAAAACAGAGTTTCTATTTACCTACAAAAAAGTGATAAAGATAAGAGAACTACAACATGCCTGACACCGTCTAAGCAACACAAAGATAATCTTATCCATACAATAAAATTACCTTAGGAATCTTGGGCAATCTTCTGCTTTCATTGCTTTCTACAACATCCTTTACTTTCAATAAAAACTCATTGAATTCAGGTCTTGCCAAATCCAAAAACAATAGAAAATCAGCAACCCAAGTTTCCAAAAGCCGCGAATTCTCTACATCACTCCTTTTTTCACTCTGCAACCTATCCTTAATCAACTGCAAAATCGAACTAGTTCCTTTTCCCAAAACAGCCTTCTTCTTCTTCTTTTCAACTTTGGAATTCTCACCATTTTCTTTAGCACCTCCGATCTTTTCATTCAACTCAGCAGCCTCAAGTACAGCATAGGCAGTCACAAGTTCCCATGCCACAATTTTCCACACAAGCGCAAACAACACATTGATTTCATGTGCAAACTTATCATACACCTTTCCAGAGTACAAACTAAAAGATTCATTAAAACTACTAGCCAAACTAGCATCCGTAGGACATTCCTTCCGAAAAATTTCACCAATTTTCAATTTCAAATCACCACCACTAATATACAAAAAGTTACTTTGCGCACGTGCATAACTACACTCACCCAATTCCCTCAATGCCATTCCCAAAGGCAACAACACATTACACACAGTATGCTCACTCCCAAGCTCAATTTTCCCCAATTTATGACCAGAATTCAACTCAACTCGCATTCTAGAATGCACAGACTTCACCTTCTCCCTAATAATCCCATGAACTTTTGGAATTTTCACAACAGAAGAAACTGTTTCCTTTCCCACAAACTTAGATCCATTAAGCAAAATCCTCATATCACCAGCAACTCCAACTTCCTCCTTAGAACTATGTCCATCACCGGAATCCATCAAATTGAAAACACTCACATCAGCTTTCAACGCCTCACACGAAAACGCCGCAGCCACATCAGCAATCACAGACAGCGCCGTCGATTGATGATCCAAAACCGCAGAAACACCGATCAACCCTAAACACGCATTATTGATCAACAATGACTGTTCATCTTCAGTCACATCGAGTTCTTCGAAATCAAAACTCTTCTGATTCGAATTGAGTGCTTCTGATATACACAACGGAACGTGTTTTGATGAGTTGCAGAGGAGGAGTTTGTTAAGGAGGACGATGAGGAAGGCTCTGGTTTCTTCTAGGGTTAGGAATTCGGGGATGTTGATCTTTTGCTTTAGCGACGGCGTTGAGGATAACCGGTCGAGTGCGGATGAGTCTATTCGTACTTGGGATTGGCCAGTGGCGGTGGTGTAGACGGCGGAGGAAGAGAGAGATGAACCCTTGCCGCCGAGTGTTACGGCGGATACCTCCTTGTGAGTCATTGTTGGAAGGAGTGGGTGAGAAACGAGGGTTTAGCTTCAGTTCAGACAGTAGGGTTGTTTCTAAAGCTAAACTCTTTGTTTACGGTTTAGTAAATAAATATTTGTTTGACAAAAATGTAACGAAAATTATTATTTTATTTATGAATGTGGTAAGTTTTCGGTTTATAGTTATATTTATTTAAATAAAATATGGTAAGTTTTCGGTTTATAATCTATATTTATTCATAAATAATTATAACACTTGCAATCAAACCTTAGTTAGTTTATTGATGATTGGCGGTGAATTTGGTAGAGAGAATTATGGTTTGATTTTTTGCAATTGTGATTGAGAGGGATCTAGAACTACTTAATGACATAACTAACATCAGAATTAGATTAGTCGGTCCACGAGCTAAGCTAAAGCATATTTTCAACTCGAGGTTTGCTTTTGGGCCTTGTGAACGGCCTAGAAGTTGTTCCCAAGCTCTTGTTTGTATTTTGTAGAATTTAGTTGTTAATAGAAGTAAGAGAAGAGTCTTAGTAGGATGTCATCAGCATTGGGAACGGATGCATTAAATGTTTTTCTCTTGATCAACAATGTTTTGTAAGGAATTTTGATGTGTGACTATTTTTTACGGTAAAGATTTCCTCTTTGTCTTAGAGTACTTGAGTACCCTTAATTGTTCACGAGGAGATATCGGTCGTTGGTGAAGTGGTTTGCACTTCTCAATGTGATAAATTGCACGCTTTTGTTGCTAGTTGGTCTAAGAAATTCTTCTTTTTCCTCATTTGCATATTCCTCAAATGTTATCAACTTCCTGGCACATGTCTTCATCCCTAACTCACTTGTTCCCCTCCTTTAAACGCGTGAGTCCTCAAATGTTTCTATGTTAAGGTAACCATTCTCTCTCTCTCTCTCTCTCTCTCTCTCTCTCTCTCTCTCTCTCTCTCTCTCCCTCTACCTCTCTCTCTCTCCCTCTACCTCTCTCTCTCCCCATCTCTCCCTTGTTAGAACAAGATTTGGTTATACAATATTATCTGACTTTTTATGATAACAAATGAGTATATTTGTGTGAACAATTTTGATACTCTAATGTTTATTATTTTTTAGTATTTAACAAACAAGTTCTGCTTTTGATGGATGGCGTGGCCAAGACATTAGAAGAGAATTAGTTCTTCTTCTGCGTTACACAATTTTTGATGAACAGTAGTAAGAAACTCCAGAAGCTCCTGAAGTGTAGGCTCTGATGTTTGTCTAAAGAAACAAGTCAGAAGATCTGAAGACAGGAGTTCTACTTAAGTCCAGATGCTGAAGACTCGTGCTTCTAAAGACAACGTGTTCTAAAGAAACAAGTCAGAAGATCTGAAGATAGGAGTTCTACTTAAGTTCAGATGCTGAAGACTCGTGTTTCTAAAGACAAAGGGTTCTAAAGACCAAGCGCTGAAGATTCTGAAGTCGCAATTCTAAAGACTCTGAAGACTTGAAGTTCTAAATACATGTGGTTCTAAGAAAAGGGTTCTAAAAACCAAGTGTTGAATACTCTGAAGACAAAAGTTCTAAAGACTCTAAAGACTTGAAGTTCTAAAGACCCAAGGTTCTAGAAAAGGTTCTCACGACCAAGTGATAAAGACTCTAAAGACACAATTCTGAAGACTCTGAAGACTCTGAAGACTTGAAGTTCTGATGACCTTGTCTTATGTTCTTGCTTTTAAACTCATGCTCGCAGAAGCCTCTAAAGTGCATAAGGAAAGAAGATAACGTTAACATGGTACAAATAGTACATGGTACAATCAACATTTCATTCCACTACCATGAAAAGGCAGATGCGTCGCACGATTTTGTCCCCCACGTGATTGCTCAAGCCGCCAATGTTTCTGGAAATCCCAAGAGTATCGCTCAACAGATATATCATTTTATTGGCTATATAAAGGCTTGAAGACTAAGAGAGAAAGTGTGATACGGTGGGAGAACTGACTTGAGGTTTTGCGTTTGTGTTTGCAAATGTTGCGGTTTAGCAAGAGTCGCCACCGACTTTTCTTTTATCCAAAAGGAAAGGTGAAAAAGCACAGGAAAGACCTTTAGAGATGTTTTATGAGTTCGGGGGGTAGATTATGAAAAAGGAAGGTATTAGCACCCTTTTCATCTATGGTTTTCCATGGGCTCTTAGTTACTCGCTAGATCACTTGCTTTTGTTTGAATGTGCTTGTGGTGTGGTTTTTGAAAGTATTTTGAAAATGTAACTTTGTAATGATTCTCGTTTCTATAAGAACGCATACAAAGTGTTTGTTTCGAAAATTATTCAAAGAGGTGTTTGTGAGATGTGTTTTTGAAAGTGATTTTGAAAAGGTTTTTCTTTGTAATGGCTCTCGTTTCTATAAGAATGCATACAAAGTGTTGTCTTTTGAAAATGTTTCAAAGTGAGGGTGTTGGTGTATAAAATGTTTTTGTTGTGAGCAAGCGAGTAACTGAGAGCGAACCTACCTACTCAAAAGGCCTTAGATGTGTTTTTCCTCCTCCTTTAGACGTTGTTATCTTACCATTGATTTTGTAAGAAGCCCCATCGTTGGATGTGAAGGGACGGGCGTTGGGTCATCATATGACCATGATAGCAATGTTGTGAGATGTCTTAGCATTTTTCTTTAGGGACTAAGATCATTTCGAAAGGCAACTTTGATAGCGTCATCGAGGGACTATGATCTTGTATTTCAATTGTTTTTGCTAAGACACCCCACATGCATAACATGACCATTTTTTAGGCAACAAGTGGAGTTAACCTTAAGGGTGTATGTGTGAATAATGTGTTTGATTTGCATGCATTTAATCTTTTATTAGGGTTATCTACTTGTTGATTTTATCTTGTCATACACGCCTAATTACTATACAATATATTTTAAAGCGATAAAAGTGCGGAAAGTAAATATCCTACGCTATTACAAATCATTAGGGGGATGGAGATACATATTTATGAATGGGGTTGCAAGTAAAATTGAATCTTAAGTTATTATTACAACCATATCGAAATGGATTAGAATGTGCAAGAAATGTAAATTGCTTATTTATTTGAGAAAAAGAAATAAGTTTTTGTCTAAGGAAATATTTTTTTGGTCTTTTGTTTTAAGAAATAAAGTAAAGCATGGAAAAAAATGTTTTTGGTGTTTGTTGATTAATGAGATAGAAAGTGATAGCAAAGATAGTGATAAAAAGTATAAAAAAAACAGAATCAGCGTGTTACTGATTAAGGGATGTCAGAAGTTCTGACCCTGGCGCACTGCAAAACAGAATTCCTGTTAGTAAAAAAATATAAGTAGAGTCAGAAGTTCTGAGTCTACTGGGAGTACATCAGCCTTTAGAAGTTCTGATACCACCGGCAACAGAGGAGGTTTTAGAAGTTCTGATACCACCAGCAACAAAGTGGATTTCAGAAGTTCTGATACCACCGACAGAACTTGGTCTCTCTTTCCATGCTAGTCAGAACATCTGCAACTTAGTCATTTCTTCACAAAACAAAAGATGTGCATATGACAGTTATGACAGGTGTCATAGTGTTTCAGAAATAAGAAATACTAGAACTACAAATCAGAGGCAAGTATGAATGTTAATCCTAATTCTAAGTTCTAATTTCTTCCAGAAGTTCTGAACTGTTTTATTCCATACTTGGGCAAGCAAATACGTGAAGCCTCAGAATATGTATAACATCAGAAACATGATATCTACATTGTGTTTTTGAACATGCAAATCTGATAATGCTTAAGCAACGTGATAAGAGTCAGCAGAAGCTTACCTTGCAGCTGAAAAAGATTCTGTAAACTGGAGGTTGGTCCTGGACCCTGGTGACGTTCTGAGAAACTTCTTCACGTACTTAACAGGGTAAAGGTTTTCAACTTCTGGAACAGCCAAGGGGTGATACTCTGACCTCTTTGAGGTGGAAATGAATGGAGAGTGTATGGCAGTATGAATATAGAAATTAAAATAGCTTCAAATATGTGAATCAGCAACCGTGGGGATGGTTTTAGTCAAGGAACAATGGAGTTTTGATGCTAGAATCAAATGCTAAGGTTTTGGTATTTTTGGTGTTTACAACTTTTTGGATTCTTGGAATTTTGCAAGGATTCAAGGCTTTTTCTTTCTTTTGGTGATTCTCTCTCTCCAAAAACCAACCCTTTGAACGTGTGATGGAACCAACTATTTATAGATGGATTTGCTGTGATTTGGGGGGGGGGGGGGGGAAACAAATGAGTTTTAAACATTTTTGGCATATTGTCCCTTTGTTTTTTTAATCACAGTTTTCATAGGCCAATTTGGTGTAAGAAAAACGCAGGCGTGGACTGGATCAGCAGCACCTTGGAGTGTTGTGGCAGCTGGTTGCAGGATTGTGCCATGGTAGGGCAGCAGGTTACTTAAACGAGGTTTTGGTGATGTTCTGATCGCAGAATATCAGAAGCATAACCTCCAAATGTTGAAGGGGCATCTTCTGACCGGAGCGTTGAACATAACCTCCATATGCTGAAGAATCATGTTCTGACTGAAGCATTATGTTCTGAATCGTGTTTGCAACTTCTGACGACACTTGCATAGAGGCTGGCTCAGAAGTTCTGAAGTATCACATTCTCTAGATACTTAGAAAATTTTCTAAATGTTTAGAAAATTTGATTTTTTTTTCAAAGTAACTTCTGACTTCTGATTTTTGACGAACCAATTTCATGCCTTAGTAGAATATGATTCTTGGAACTTGATTTTGATTTAGAAGTCAAAGTTTTACTTTTTCAATGTACTTTTGACCATTTTGCCCTTATGGATGATTTCCTTGGAAAATTGGTAATTTCAGATTTGCAACTGGATGGAAGCAGACTTGAGGGTCCAGGTTGATCCTTTGAGAAATGAAAGGGAAAATTTTGGGATACAACAGCTGCCCCTGTTCAATCTTCTTACACCTGAAGAGTTAGATTGGTAAATCTATCATTCGTGACTTAAAGGTGGAAGATGATTGAACACTAGAGTGCCCAGAAATTTGCACTCACAT